CCCACTGAACTATTTTTATGTTTGCTGGCAATGTGGCAACTAAATAACATTTTTATGTCATAAATTTTAGAGTATTAACATTTACTTACTCTAATTATAAACGTGTGTTTTTCACTGTATGGCCTACTGAATTAACTCACTGGGGAAAACAAAACACAACCCCTAATCTTAATAAATAATTGATTCCCAGTTGTAAAACTGAACAGCCCATGTTTTGCTCCTAGTGTTACTCTAGGTCATAATCGTGGTGAACGCACACCCTAAAAATGATATCTGAAATCGCGGTCAGGCGAGTGGACAGGGAGCTGTGATTGGCTGAAGGACAATTATGCAGAAACTCCTTCTTTCTCCCCCAGATTCTGATCTGTTTCTGTCAACTTGAGGCATTTCAATAGGTAGCGCGCAAACCCGGTGGACACCGGCAGCTGCAGGGTTTGGATTGATATCTTACAGATATGTCTCTACAGGCCATTAAATAATCATTTCTACAGCCTGCATGGGATTGTGTTTTAGCAACTTGGAAAGTCAATCCAAGAATGAATTTATTGCCTTTCTTTCCCTAAGCCCCAAGGATTTCTTTTAAATATGATAAAACACTTAAGAAGAGCTTAAAATGCAGATGCAGTTCTTGTCCCTTGAAATCCACCACGATGCTAAACTAATATTTATCATCTGCTGACTGACTTTGAAAAATAAGTAACTTAGTGAGAGTGGAATTTGATTGGTTTTCTAGGCTGTATTACGAGACCCAGTAAAACGGCATTATGTTGCACATATTTTAATATATCTGGTATAATTTGTGATGTTCTGTCATCTACACTCTTAAAAATAAAGGTGCTTCACGATGCCATAGAGGAGGCATTTCAATAGGTAGCGCGCAAACCCGGTGGACACCGGCAGCTGCAGGGTTTGGATTGATATCTTACAGATATGTCTCTACAGGCCATTAAATAATCATTTCTACAGCCTGCATGGGATTGTGTTTAAGCAACTTGGAAAGTCAATCCAAGAATTAATTTATTGCCTTTCTTTCCCTAAGCCCCAAGGATTTCTTTTAAATATGATAAAACACTTAAGAAGAGCTTAAAATGCAGATGCAGTTCTTGTCCCTTGAAATCCACCACGATGCTAAACTAATATTTATCATCTGCTGACTGACTTTGAAAAATAAGTAACTTAGTGAGAGTGGAATTTGATTGGTTTTCTAGGCTGTATTACGAGACCCAGTAAAACGGCATTATGTTGCACATATTTTAATATATCTGGTATAATTTGTGATGTTCTGTCATCTACACTCTTAAAAATAAAGGTGCTTCACGATGCCATAGAAGAACCTTTTTGTCTAAATGGTTCCATAAAGAACCTTTAACATCTGAGGAACCTTTCTGTTTCACAAAAGGTTCTTCGTGGTGAAAGAAGGTTCTTCAGATTATAAAAAGGTAAGGAAGAGATGGTTCTTTAAAGAACCTTTGACTGAATGGTTCTTTGTGGAACCAAAAATGGTTCTTCTATGGCATCGCTTGAAGAACCTTTTGAAGCACCTTTATTTTTAAGAGTGTAGCCTACATAAACTTCTGATCACATAGAATTTATTTATTATTTGATTTAAAAGAACTAATGTATTATTTGTTGAACACTGCGCCCCCGCAAAAAGAGATATATATTGCGCAAAAGACCAACATTGCTCAAGGGCAAGGCCATATAGTCTTGAAAAACATTTGAGCAATTGCGCCACCTGATGGTCAGAATATGTAATCAACATTCAGTCTGAATTCATAGTCAACAGCAAACTCCAAAATCCAAACTAGACATGAATATATAAACCTACAAATTTTTTATAAGCAAAAATAAGCAGAAAAGTATTTGAATTTGTACTTTCTGTAAAGTAGTTTTGTACTTAAATCTGTTACCTGTATTTTCTAGTCTGACTTAATGTGCAGGAACCATGGAGGCCCATCGCTGTCATATTTTCTGTAGAAAACTGAAAGACTGGAATCAGAGTGTATATAGACAGCCATAAATGGACAACACATTGATGTTTCAGCCATTGGAGGCAGCATACCAGTTATGTAACTGTCCGTCTCTGACTCTCTATCTTTCTAACAGCATCTACAGTACACAAATCTGACTCTAATGGCTCTGATTTATGTTTTAGAACAACATGTGGAAATAGAAATGTTAACTACAGACTTAGTTTTACACAGAAGAAACTGAATACTGCTCATCTAAAAATCATGCTAATGCAATTTTTTTTCTTTATTCAATTCCATCACACAAAGGTACAATGCAAACATAGGGAAATGTTACACATCTCAAAGCATGCAAAACAGAACAACAGCAACAACAGAACAACGCAAAATGAATACACACACACACACACACACACACACACACACACACACTGGTACGGTGCCTCCAGTGTGTGAAATCAAAGTTTTGTTCATATATGTCTC